AAATATCTTTTTTATATTTATAAATTAAGGCTATTTATTTAATTAAATCTTAAGATTTAAGGTAATAATTATATAATTTATTAAGATTTAAATTCTTTTTTTTTTTTTTTCCCTTACTATTAGCCTTATATAAGGCTATTAAGCTTTTTAATTTTTCTATAAAGGCTTAAATAATAAGACCCTTATAGCAGGCTATTATTATAGAATTTAAAATTATATAAGGTTTATCTGCCTTAATAGTGCAATTACTGCCTTAACTAAATAGTATTAATATTAATTACCTCTTAGTAGCTAGGTTACCTTTTTTCCTTTATCTTACCTAAAGGACTAAGATAATACCACGCCTAGTCTATTTATTATACTTCCTAAGTATATTCTCTAAACTAACTTCTTATACCTTTTGGTCATACTTGCTAATATTAATTATAGCCACTAATATAATACCTATATATAATAGCTTATAGCCTAATTAGGGCTATTATATAATTAATTATAATCTTATTAATATAATTAGACTAGTACTAAAGTAAGCTAAGGGTAAAGATTATTATATATTATATAAGATAGCTAAAGCTATTAAGATAAACTTCTCTTTAAGAGGCAGATTAAGCCTAATTAGGATAACTATCTTTAAATATAGCCTAATTAGCTTAATTAGTTATATAGATTTAGATTACCTAGGTAGTATAATATCTTTAACCTAGCTAGCTAGAGAGCTATTTAGATTAAAGAAACTAGAAAAAGCCTTATAGTAAGGCTAGTCTCTTAAGGTAAAAGAGGCAGCTTTTCTTATTATATTTATAGGCCTAAACTTAGCCTGGTATAAAGAGTGGCTTAAGAATGTAATTATTAAGGCCGAATGGGTACTTTGTATCCTCCTTTTTGTATAGAAGTAAAGGGAGTTTATGTATAGTATTCTGAGATGAATGCAGGGTAAAGGCAGGGTTTAGAAATTCTATTAAAATTAGAATTAAAGGAATTAGGTTAACTTTTATATAAGTTAGTTAATAAAAGTTAAATTAACTTAAAGTTATAACTAGCTCTATTAATTAAATATATATAGTGTGGTATATAACTAATTGACCTTATATATAAGAATAAATCTAGTGAAATTAGTAGAAAAGCAGTGGTTTAAACTAGGGATATAAGATATTATATATTATATTAAAAAATATAATATAAGATATTATATATTATATTAAAAAATATAATAACCTTAATATTAAGTCTTAGCAGATTATATAATTATTATTTTAAACCTTAAGATTTAATTAAATAAATAGCCTTAATTTATAAGTATAAAAAAGATATTTCTCTTATCCTTAATAGGTTAAATGCCCTTTTTATTATTACCCTCTTAAGGTAATTACTACTAAGGCTTTAACCTTAAAAGGCTATATTAAAATAAGCTAAAAACCTTTACTTCTATTATAAGATATATTATTATATAATTAATATTAATAATAATTAATCTAGCCCTAATTATTTAATTATAATAATTAATTATTATATAATTAATCCTTTAATAAAAATTAATAATATTATTATTAAAGAGATCCTAAGTTTATATTCCTTTTTTTATTATTATAAAATTATAAGTAAAGACCTATTATATATTAATAAATTATAA